TTTTTCAAAAATTCTTCGAAATCTCATATTTCATTGGGACCATCTAACCCTTTGTCCTTTGTTTCCATGGCAATTAGCCATCAAAAGATGCCACCATGACATTGTGTTATTTTGGAAATGTGCTCTTTACTCTAAAAGGCATCTGGTGGAAACTGCGTACGGATTGATGTACATAGCTAAATGAGATAGAATTCTGCTGCACTTAAGTATGTAACTACGTCATCAGGTCTTTGAATTTTTGCAACATGGAAAATTGTAAACTTATATGGGACGACTGGACACATATAACTAAATTACTTCAAAACTTTACACTCATTTACACAATTTTGCACAATTTATTTAACTTAAAATTTCGATTTCCTTAATTTGAATGTTATGCAACAATTCAATAGAAAATTTATGATTTCGCTTAGTACACTTTATAACTAGCGCTAGTTGTTGCAAACGCTTCAAAAAAAATTAATTTACTTTTTTCCTATAGCAATAGATAGTGAAAATTGCAAAAACAGAGGAGAATCGTTTTCTCCGTTGGGTATACACTGAAAGTCCATCATCTCATACAAGGCCTGACCATTTTGCTGATGAACAAACTGTAACATCTTATAAGCGAACGAACAGTGTCATCGTAATTACGCTTATGCCAAAAATTAATTGAAAAGCAAAACTTGAATGACAAGCGGTTGCTTAGCACCACCAATGCAAAACCTTTGTGTTATATCCTATGTTTACCTTATTTGTGTGTACTACTCAGAGTAAATTGATCTGGAAAATAGGGACCGGATAGGCCAATTAGTTGAAGCCCTTCCCATGTAGCTGTACCTACCACAACCCAAACCTGTAGGTTACAGGAAGGTATTGCTTTTGTTATTTTATGGTGAAAATTGCTACATAATAGTAATTTGAGATAAAAACTAATTATACCTAGTTTGGACCATGTAGGTCTATTATGAATGCTTTATCTTAACAAGCGAATCTTTACGTCCCATACATAAAATTTAATATATTATAATGAAAATAGGTGAAGAATAAGAACATTTTTAACAAAAAAAATTATTTTCCTAAATTTGGACTACGTTAGCTCAAGTCATTCTTCAATGGTAGAGCTGCCATGAAAAGTATGCTTTTACATAGAAATAAGACGAAATTTTTGATGTTTAATAATCAGACTATAAGACTTTTGCAAGCAATATTCGTGTTATAGTTTTCGATTTCTCAATTTTTGGCGATTATCCGAGTTTCCTTTACCGACACCGCAGATGGAAGGAGATTCAAACTTTTTTGTCAATATCAAACCGTCAAAACGACGGCTGAGCCCTTCTTCTGAAAGCGTGAACGAAGTGTTTTTGTCATTATTGCTTGTTGTCTGCAAACATGTGAAAGGCAATACCTGGTCGCCCACTCTCTCTCTCACTCTCTAGTTCAATATGATTTTATTTATTACATTTTAACAGCTGTAAATTATTACATAATCGTAAATTTTCTACATGAAATGCAACTTTAAGTTTAAATTAATTTATTTTGTGGACAGCATTGTTGTTATTGATGATAAGTTTACACACAAATTTGTTTGTGCCGGTTTTTTTGTTTTTTTTTTTTTTTTGTTTTAATTTTTTACCTTTTTTTTTATTTTGTTAAAATAATTGATGTAATTTTTGCTAACAATTGTTAAATTCCCTTAGGTTGTACGCAAACACATATATGCACATGCATTTACACATATATGTCCATAGACACATACTTATATAACAATAAAATTACAGTTACACCGTTTATACCTTTACTCTTATCTCCTTGCATACGAACGTGTATAACAGTTGGGCTTACATCATTCTTGACTTTATAACACATTGAAAATATTACAGCAACAAAAGCAAAACAAAATAAGGTGAAAAAAAATGTTATATCACAATTTAAAATCAGTCTCGCATTTACTAGTGCTGTTCATTGCTGTTCATTTTTCTCGTTATTCAGTCAGTTGTTGGTGCATGCATGTAGAAATGCTTTTGCAATAAACGTTTCGATGTAATTTTCCAATTCAATGACGGAGACACAGACTCAATCCCATCTTACATGCTTTCGTGCCTACATGCACGTATCTCCTCCCAACTGCTGCTCTGCTATATTTTTCTTCTTTTCCTTTTATTTTTTTTTATTTTTTTTGTTTATTTTCACCCTACCTACCTACCTTTTCAAATTGTATCCAAAAGTATTTAAAAAAATATATATAACACACATAAAGAACATAGCTTGGCCATATACACAAATATAGTTTATTCGTACATGTGTAATGTGTAATCGTAAATATGTGTCCCGAACAAGTGTGTTCGTTTGCTCACTTGTTTATTTGTGGGTCAAAAGGGAGATGACCATTGCAGTTGTGTTAAAAATTATCACTTGACCTTAATTTTTGTTTTAGCAAATGCTCAGACGTAATCGAGGTAAGCTTATATGGTTCTATTAACACACTATCTATCACTCACTAAGGGCAACCACACCACGACAACACTAACAACGTTAAACGTATTGTAAAGTGATTGTAATATTTATGTACAAGTGTGAGAATTGTTATTGTACTGGATGTGACCACATTAGGTTCGTCTCTATGACTCAAAATTAACATAGAATGAGTGCGTGTACGTGTTCGAAGGTTTGCCTGCGTGTTGTGCATGATCCAAAAAAAAAAAAAAAAAAACAAAATTGCATCATTAAAGAAATATTTATCCACAGTTAAAATATGATGAATAACTTATATTATTATTAGTTGGAAAGTTATCGTTTACATGTTGTTCATGATATTCTCATTAAAGTAGTTTAAGTCTTAGGTTATAGTAATACGAATAGTGGACAGTGTTTACGAAACATGCATTATGTGATTAGTCTAAATAATTGAATGCATTAAGTCATGCTTGTGTTTCTACCACTAGAACTGTAAGTTGGAGTTTAAGTCATTTGGGTTGTGTAAGAAATGCCAATCGGATAAGAAGAGGATGAATTTGGGGGAAAAGAGAAAACAAAATGTTTCGAATGGTAACGATAAGGTTGAAATGGAAAATTGGGCAATGCGTAAAAGGAAAATTTGTGAACATTGATGATGAAAGCAAATTTCGTATCATTGATTGATTTCAATGCTAACTTTGATGCTACTTACTGTTTATGCTATAATTATGCTAATACTGAGGCTAATTTTAAATAGATTGTTAATGCTGAAGTTCGTTATTGCATGAATAATGAATTGACAGTGCACGCTAATGCTGGTTGGTTACTGGAATATTAATTCTAATGCCAATGCTAATGCTTAAGGTAACGCTTATGCTAATGCCTGTGCAACTACTGATTGTAATGCTAAATCCGAAAACTAATGCGTTAGTATGTGGATAAGAGATAACGTATGGATGGTATATTAATTATATTTGAATGCTTGCTGCTAGTTGTATTGCTAATGGCAATGCAAATATTAATTTGAATGATAAGACTAACCATCTATGGAAGTCAGTGTTAATGCTAAGAAGCTAATGTTAAGAAATTCGCTTCGAAATATTTGGCAATTAGTGCTAATGCTGATAGATGCTTCACATTACTGCCAATGCTAACAATAATTGTAATGGCGATTCTAAAGCTAATTTAATTCCTACAGTTAAGCGCAAAATTATAAAATTCGGTGTATCACGGATTTATGATATATGCTAACGTTGTCTGATCGGTGGATATTAATGCTATCGCTAACGACGATACGAGCACTAATGGCAGCTTTCAATACCCATTAAAAAATTTCAAAATAAAATTCAAAATAAAATTTCAATATGATTAATGATCAATGCTCTCCTTCCCGCTATCTGTCCCGACCTGGCCATTAATGTTTCATTTCGAATTTTTTTCTCAATTTAAATGCAAAACGCGTTTAACAAAGTTGTCCAGAATCTATGTAAGACCAAATTTCTAAAATTAGTTACTTATTTCTTATCATTCCTGTTCCATGTTTCCTACTTCTTAACATATATATAGATGGCATCTTAATCTTTCTCTTAAGTTAGTGGAGAATTGTTCTAGTCGTCAGATTTTCAAAGTATCATTTCACATACTGACGCTATCGCTATTTTTAAATTTGCAATAGATACACGACAATTTAACCCAAATACATGTTCTTTAGTTTTCATTGTATCTAAATTTTGTTTCCCATTTTTTTTGTTTTTTTTTTGTTTTGAAGTTTTGTACTCCAAATAAACAGTGTCGTATAAATTAAAATATTGAATAATAATTATTTGATGAAAATTGTGAAAAAGATTCTCGCGTCTAAAGGTTTCCCTTTGCATTCAGTGCAAGTGCACATGTAGATTGTAGAACACAATTATAATTGTATAACACAAACCAATAATTGTACTTTTGCGCGAATTTTTTTTTTTTTTTTTTTGTTTATGCAGATTTTCGTATGCGAAGCTCTTACTGTCTTCCTGCGATTGCATTCTCGTCAACCGCAAATTCTTATCATAATAAAAATTGAAGCATACATGGATGTACATGTGCATGTGTACGCGTATATGCGTATGTACGTGCGGGCGATTGTGCCTTGTATTTGCGAATTCCATTGCAATAGCAAATATGTATAAGCGTAAAATACATGCATATGTAAATACCGGATATGCATAAAACAGTGACATTGCAACTGAATGAATTTCATTGGAAAGTTTAACAATTCTACGGATATTGTTTTCATTTAAAAATTGGTTCAATGCGGGTTTTCTTCCTTCTTTTTCCCTCGCCCCCCCCCATGCTCCACACTCTCTTGGTTGTTGGGGAATTGAAAACAAATTGAAAATGTTTTATATCTCGTAATAAAATTTAATTAAAAATTGGTTTTTCATCCGCCCGAGATAATATGCAAGATATTATTTCGAGAATAATTTACGAAAAATCGAAAGGACATAGAGTGGAGAGTAACGTGACAGCATTAATATTTATTTCATTAACAAATTATTATTCTCATTATGATGACTGCTACTTACCCCATTCTTTTCGCATACGCCGCCGGCATTTTTCAAATCTCCCGTCCAAGCTAAACCCAACGTTCCCATCTCGAAGTCACGATAAGTAAACATGTACGCCAAACAAAATGCATCGTAGTCTTCCTCTGAGAGAGACAAGAAAATGTAAGAAGAAGAAAAGCACTGAAGTATATTAAAAAATATCGATTATTGAAATTTTGTTAACATTTTTGCAAGTTTTTATTCACTTCCGTCGACATAAAACATTTTCGAATGTATGACGCAAAAAATAAAATATAAAAAGAAAACGCAAAATTATATGCCGACATACTAGCGTTTATACGCATACATGTTATGGCCTACATATGCGTATATTGACGTAAAGTTGGAATTACTTGTGCGAGTGTGTGTAGTTGAAGTATTGCGTGGTTTTTTGTTCGTCTCTTTAACTGAATAATCGTTTAATCACACATGTCTCTGTGTGATAAAAAGTTATATAAAAGATAAACGAGACTCGATTTATCTTTTCTCAGTCGATTTCAAGTAAATTGCAGCTTAAAAAGATAAACCTTTTCGAGGCATTAAACATTTAACATTTAATAAGACTTGAGAAGTAAGAAAAGTATAATTAACAAGAATGTATAAATTGACCGAACATATATGAGTAGATTGGCAGTGCTACGTCAGCGTCCAGTCCTTTCAGCGCGGTATCGAATAAAGCGCCTGTTTTTTTTTTTTTTTTAATGGCCGATTGTCAATTAATTTGTTATTAGTAACAAGTTCATTGCAAAAAAAAAAAAAATATCAAAGTGAATCGCAGTAAGGCTTGGAAGCATTGTTTAAAGACTAACAACTAAAAGGATGGACGTCAAGTCAATTTCAGCGATATTCGGAAACGAGTAAAAAGACGATTGCCTGAAGAATGGCAAACCAAGCAGGAGAGTTCCAATGAGAGTAGATTGACGGTCAAGTTAATAGAAAAAAGACTAGAAAATGAACGAAAGGATTATCGCTAAAGGGACAGCAAGCAAAGTGAGAGTAGTTGGGAGTAGACTAGATCGTGAACTGAATTGTAGCGAGAATCGAAGAACAAATAAGAAGACGATCGTTCAGTGTGAAATGGGCAGGCGGGGTGAAAGAGCTCGTACAAAAAAAGATTGACGCGAAACGAATCACTAATTGGATGCGGAAATAAACAAGAATATAATCGCTGAAGGAAAAGCAGACAAAGAGACAGTGATTAGACGGAGGCGATTATGCAACAACATAGTCTGAACGGCGGCCTCTCTCTTCATCCTGCAGTAGTGCAGCAGAGTCGTTCCGCGGGATTTGCGAAAGCGAAAGCAAAGTTGGTTTTGGTAAATTAAATTTTCTCAAATAACGTGTAACAGAGCAAAAATTAATTACAACGATAAACACACATTTAGCCTGAACGGAGGCCATCACCGAGTAGGACTTATGAGTCTTTCCATTGGGTGAAAATTCCTAAAAGAATCGTTGTATAGTGCTGTCATTAGGCCCATTGGCATATTCTATTCCTAAGCCACTACTTCACAATTACCATTTTACGTCGTGTGAGTGCTTCGGGCCCGGAGCATTAAAGAGATGGTAATGCTCTTATCGTTTGTATAAACCACTTAGGAGAAGTGAAAGCTGGCTGCAAGTGAACGGGATTTGTGATAGTAGGTTGAGTTATTGAGGGCAATAGGTTTTATCAGTTCATATGTGGCAATCGTGGACAATCAGCATACATCGAGTTTGATTGCGGGCAAAGCATATTATTTTTGTTCAGTCAGTTTGAGCTTCTCAGCTGAAAAAAAAAACACCAAGTTATATTTGCTTTGCGTTTATTGTGTTTTTGGAATTCTTCAAGTAAATATAAATTTTTGGTTTGCGACATGTCACCGCATGTCAACTGCAGAGAAATAAAGTTTTGAATGGATTATGTACATGTACATCAATTGCCGTTAATTGGTTAACTTTCTGTGTAAGGAATACATTCCCAGTTGCTCGTGGCTTTGCGACGAGTAGATTTTCGTTTTTAAAAGACTATTTAATGAAAGCTCAACAAGATTACCCAATGTATGCTGTGCAGGCTATAGCAAAGGAGTATAGCAAAAGAGGATTTATAGCAAAGATAATAAAAAATTATTTTTTATTGTACATTATTGCACGCGTTTGCGCGCCACTGTGAGCTGTTGCATATTCCCTCACGCTCATGTATATATACATATACAGATATAAATGCACGTAAGTAAAAATCCGTACGAAAGGGAATGTATTTGTTGTATATACCAAGACGAGTATGCTGGTAAAATATGACATCGTGAAAACGAGTATTCAGTTGAAATGGTTTAAGAAAAACTTTTACGCAGAATTCTAAAGATCACTTATTAGGAAAGGTGAAAATGCGAACTTCATCAGTGACGGTATTAAATGCTTAATTAAATCTGTTCCGTAAATTAGCCAGAGGTTTATTAAGAAGAAATTTTATTTTATCACTTGATTAGTGCACTTTCGTCTCGCTGAAGCGGAAGACGGCCCATAAGGTGTGGCCTTACTCGATTGAAGCCACAATAAGCCTAATAACAATGAAAACCATAAAGGCATTCAGTTTGACAAGCAAAGCCCCCTTAGCTTGACAGGGGGAGAAATCATTGCTACATCGTCCCGATAACATACAAATCTAAATTCTTTTTATAATTATATTTTCCTGTAAACGTTCTTATTGTTGCCAACGTAAACGCGCACTGTGTTTAGAACGAAAACAGCATGAAACAAGCAAGAAAATTATATTCGATTGCGACCGCATCTTTTATACCCATTACCGTTATCCTATAAGCGATTGAGAAAAAGAAGGGAAAAATTAGTTTGGCGTACTCCATAACATTGGATAGGCGTGGTTGATTTTTTCTATTTTTGTAGAGTAATTTTGTGGAAATTTAACTCCTATACCTGCTACAGTTTATAACCAACAAGCAAGAGACGCGCAGAACAACAGTTTTCTCAGTTTTGGCCATAAAGACCTGTGGGCTTTGTAGACCGGTTAGAGTCATTTCCCTCCTTGCGAGCGAGAGAATGTGCATCATAGATACTATGCAAACGGACAAACGGGCAGACGGACGGATTAACACACGGAGGACAGAGGAACACTCTTATGTGCATTTTGAATATGAAACTGGCCAAGTATTTGTATATTTTATGGGACAGTTGAAGCTTGCTTTGTTACTGTAGGCGCACCTTTGGAACGGCTCGATATATTTTTTTTTAATACCAATCGGCGCGCAATAACTTCCAATAGTTATGCCATATGTGAGGTCGATAACTTTGTTTTTGCGCCCAAGATGGAGATAGAGACATGCTTTGCTCAGACTTTGATACTAATCAAAAATATATATACTTTATGGGCTCTCTGAAGCTTCCATGTGCGCGTTGCAAACGCGTTGACACAATGAATATACCTCCCATTCTTGGGTGGGTGGACAGAAAAGTTACTACAATAATTCTCAGTCAACACATCTATGTGTCGTTTATTTGGAAAGTAACTTAAATCTTTTTTATTTTTCCATTTATGTTTCGTGTAGTTTTTAAATTATTTATAATATTTTCGTAATAATTTACTTCGCAGCGAAATATGACATGAACTTTTTAAATCTAAAACTAACCATTTTGTGGTGTTTTCGAAAAATGGATTTTAGCCACTTTCAAAATATATGGCTTATACACACTTGCTTACACACATAGGTGTGAGCTTGTATATATGTGGTCTTTAAAAAGCACCTGTGAACACCAGCGCCAACATATAATTCTTTTCGGTGCAATTTATAAAAAAAGTAAACGAGTAAGAGAAGCATATCCGACTTAACGCCATACTTGTGATGCTTGCCATTTTAAATACACAAAATCTATGCAAATCGCTTGATAAACTGAATGGAAATATTTTTACAATATAACATGGAAGTCGGAGAAGTCGTTGCCTCACCATAACCGATTTTTATTTGCTAACATTTGTACGAAACTGACGTAAATACTTTGAAAATGTTGAGAATATTTTCACAAATTTTTTCAATTATTCACTTTCAATAATTGATTTCGTTTCCATGTGTGTGTGTTTATTAAAGTCGTGTTTGTGGAAACGAGAAGACTTGCCTTTCAATTTACCCTGGATTGTAAACAATAAATTTTAGCTTATCTTTAGTTATGTTAGTAACTTTAGTGATCTATAAAACTTAGTAAGTAGACGGACTGACGCACAAACAGACAGACAATGTGCATGTGACAACAATACCAGATTATTCTTGGACATCTGCGGGCATCTTGAATATATTGTGTGCATATTTGGGAAGGGTTTCAAGCGCCACAATCTTGTTAGTATAACCATTTACTTGGGCGATGTGCATAATAAATAAACCAATATGCACATTCATATGTATGTTTAATCGGAATGCGGTACGGCACGGTATGCATACGGTCGCAATTGCATTGCATTGTATGCAATGCATGATATTGCTTAAAAACAAATTTTCAATTTTAATTTATATTGTGTGTATGTATGTATGTGTATGTGTGTGTGTGTGTGTGTGTGGTAGAATGAGTTGCCGACGTTATTTTGTTTAGTGTGCAACACTCAGACATAAATACAATATTGATATAAATGCATAAATATGTCTGCGTATGTGCAGGTCCGTGCACACCTACATAATGCATATATGTATGCATGTATATGTTAGTTGTATGTTATATGCGTATGCATAAGTATAGCTTTGCATGTTGTAAATTCATATAAAGTGAAAGAATAAAATTTGCATTTGTTGCAAATGAAATGCATAAAAATCCCCACATAGCAGTCGGAAAGAACAAAAGCAGACGAAAAAAAGGAAAAAATCGATTCAGATATTTGCTCGTAACGAATGCTTTAATAAATAAAATTTACTATAAAATATATATTAAAAAATTTATTTAATTGTAAATAATAAAATATTTAATTTATTTTAAAAGCCAGACGAACTACAATTTATTCTCGTCCTTCGGAAAATTATATGCGCTTAAGAGTACATATAAACGCGACCATTTGAAGAATATATCAACCACTCTATCAACTTCTCTAACCACAAAATTTTCCATCTTAACACCCGTTGAGAATATCGCCCAACCGGTTGACCATTTCATCCCAATCTCACTACGGAGTGACTTTGAGTATCTATTGCCTGGTAACAGTTATACAGTTATGTCTTTACGTGTCACATCTTTAATCTCGAATGATGCCATGCCGTGACATGCATTTTCAAAGAATTCATAGCCCCCGTCTGTAACATAGTCCTTTGGATATATAAGTGTAAACAAGAACAGACGCGGTACGATTAAGATTAGAAAAAATTAGATTGGACTGAAATGGAAAGATGATGCGCTTTGCACTCCTTCTCCATAATACAAAGAGTCTTTGTAGAAGACAAGAAAGAAATCATCTTTGATTTCAGTCAGAGTCTTTTATTAAAAGTAGACCAGTAGGTGATATTCGCTGATCAAGTTAAAATCCATTTATTCTATATATCGCACCATATATATTGATCTTATTTAAATGTTGTTGTTTGACTATTGTGTCGGATATTTGACTCGTTTCAATTGCTATTTAGTTAAAAAAAAAATGAAGGATCCCATCTTAAAGTTTTATACGGGTAAACGAGGGACACTTAGTCATTACGGACCTAGTAATTTTTTTTTTCGTGTTTCATTAGATACTTACCCCGTCCACATTAAGCGAAATTTTAAACATTTTTCGATTTTGTGAAAATAGTCACGAAATTGGCGATCAAAACAAAGTTGAAAAAAATGCTCTCACAATCATCGAAATGTTCCGACCCCATTAAGTTTGTTGATTAGAGGCCAAAAGCAATGATCTTCAAAATAGAATGGAAGTGCGCTTCTGACGAAATCAGGTTTTCCGAATTTATCGTACCGCTACAGCTGCAGCTTTCAACTGGCAAGCATACTAGCGATATACTTTTTGATGACATGAATATTTTCCCACTCTGTATACATATTAGTTTCGAATTCTAGGTGCAAAAAATTTAACCCACAGCGCCATGACAAACGATGAGTAGCAAAGAAATGCTTTCATTTCATTTCATTTCACTTCATTTGATTTCATTTTGAAAAAAAAAAAAAAAAAAAAAAAACTCTTTTTGTCTGCGTACTTTATACACATACCTTAACTCGTTTATCCATAACTACCCTATATGGCGTCTAGCTTATCGTTATTTAAAAATTTGTAAAAAATGTTTTAAACTCTCATGTTGCATAAACCGTAACTCTTTTGAAATTTTTTATTTAAATACGAAAGAATTATGCTATGTTTTGTGAACAAAAGATGATATTATCCCGTATACCGGGCAAGAGGGAGAACAAAATATTTAAATAAAATCAATTCATTCAATCAATTCTTCTTCTAAACAAAGTCGCAATGGTTTCAACAAAGGGGTGGACAGATACACTAGCATTGAATTTAATCGATTGCGCTATTCGCGTTGATTATATATACATTCATGAAACATGCTTTTAGCCGTAAGCTCAATTGAGTGCAACTGCATTGGTTGATGGCTCTTCAACTTTTTAGATGAAATTTAGAAAAACGCAGCCATAACTTGAGCATGTAAGTGAACAAACGAACATACAAGCAAAGATAAAATGGTTCTACTGAAATGCCATCGAACGTAGTCGAAGAGGTTGTACTGAGTGCACAAGAAGGAAAGAAAAAAAATGAAATTTGAGTAAGCCTCAGTTATTTTTCCATTAAGAGTGACATTACACTTATTTACAAGTCAACGTTTTTCGCATAAAATTTGTCATAAAGATATTTTATTCTACTTTGATAATTTGAAACGAGCAAATATCGTAACCTTTTCAACACCATTTTTAGAGGAAAAAATTTTCAAAAATTCAATGGAAATTATTCGATTTTTGCATTCTCGACTTCGTCAACTTGAATTTCTACAGATATACTTTGAGTAAACAGACACTTGCTTCAGATCCCGATATCCAGATATAGATTGAAATTTATCCGCCTGAGTGGCTGAGTAGACAAGAGTCTTGACTAGCAACTCAATGGTCGTGGGTTCAAATCTCAAGTGCGGTAGAGTTTTTAATAAAGCCGAAAGCCTTAGATGCTAGTACTTTAAGACTTTAGTCTTAGAATTTCTTCTCTGGCTAAATTTATAATAATAATAGATTGACATTTTTGCTTCTTCTTGCTATTCGTTCTCTCTGATTTAAATTATTTTAAGAAGAATCTGAGCAAAATACACTATCGCAGATGACACGCTAGAAAAGTTGCATTATCCTGCAATGGAATTCTGAGCAGTGGACATAATTTCTCCACCATCAGTCACCAAATCTATTTAAGGAATTTTTGCGGCCACATACCATGACATTAAATTTAGTAAGTAAGATTTTAATTTATACAGCCAGCATAAGGTATAAGAGGCAAGAAATAATTTGTTAACATGTAAACAGTAAAGCAGAGAAAATTTCTTGCGGTTTGATGTAAATAAAGGCGTTACTGTAATTGACGTGTAAATGAAAAAAAAAACGCAATATAAAAAAAACTTACCTGAAAATAATTCCAAAAATTTTTCAACGCCATAATTACCGGGAAACCGATAGGAAGGATCTTTAACAGCATTCATGTTATGAACTTTAATTCGTTTTATCATAAACGTAATATTATCCGGTTTGCCATCGTTATTGAAATCTGCGGGTATATGGATGGCATCAGAAAAGAAAAAAAAATAATTTTTTTTCTTATTTAACTCAATAGAATAAAAAGCGGGGAATACGCAAGCAAACACACGCAAATATACACATGAGTTATGATATTTATGTATATAACATATTTTCTGAAGTGTACCAATAACAATAGAAAATATAATAATAACTCGTTTTAGAATATAGACGTGCGCTACCCGTATATATATATATACTGGTACATATTTATACACATGCATATATGTGGGTATGTTTGTTTGTTATTTTAGCTATAAGACCTTGCAAAAAATGTATGTTTTTATGCAGTTTTTTTTTTTTTTTTTTTTTTTTTTTTTTTTTTTTTTGTAGCCACAAACACTGTCTCTTATGTTAACATAGTAGGGAAAAAAGTGTACGGAGAAAAAACTTGCACTGAAAATTGAAGTTTTCCGTCGATGAAAATATCAAACATTTTCCTTGGAAGTTTTTTTGCTTTTTTCCTTTCACACGGTTGTTAAGGTATATTAATTTAGTTACGCTATTAGTGACGGAAAGAAAAACCACAAGTAAATCGATTCTTTAGCATATGAGAATTGTGTAATCAATTTAAAATTTTCTAGTGATTTTACAATGTAAGTCTTGCTGGCCGATTTGCTTGCCCTAGAGACATTGCGGTTGAAGGAAATTTTCATAATTACTGAGATAAATTTGAGAAGATTGATTTTGTCTTGGCATTTCTACTATTAGTTAAAGTCCTTAATTAGAAAACGAAAAAGTTTAAAAAAAAAAAAATTCGAAAAAGTCCTTTCAAGAACTATCAAGATTTATTTGCAAATACCTTTCTAAAAATGGCTAAGAAAAGCTTATCTCCCACCAGCAATAAAAGAAAATCAATCGATCGCCCTATATAGCTCTTAGAGGATAGGTATCCAAGAGTCGTCTGAAAGATAAAGATTTCGTCTTTGTTTGTTTTTTTTTTCATTTTTGAATTTTGATTGCTTGCACGTATGGTAGCAACATTTCAAGCATTGCTTGCAATTCTATACTTCATTCATTTTATTTCTGCAATGTTGACACAAAATTCATTGCGTCATCATGTTTTAAACTCTGACGTATATTTTTTCTAATTTTTCACTTTTTCTCTGTTTTTTTTTTGTTTTCACTTCAATTAAAAATTTTAGTTGCTGTGAAGAGTCCGACATGTATTCATCCTTTTACTACATATATGCGCAGCATATGTATAAGAAAAACCAATTTTTTTTTTTTTTTTTTTTTTTGTATATTCTTTGTACACACGTCAGAGCGTATGAGTTACGTAGAAATATGTAAAAAGTGGTAATATTTCTTGCACGAAACGTCTCAGTGAGTGAAAAGCCACATGACTGTGGTTGCGCATTACAGGTAAGTCAATTCAATATATACCTTATGTTATTACAAATCAGGGTTACTAGTGTTGAAATTACGAAAATCTATAAACGGAGATATGTTAAGAGTCAACGACTATGCTATTGAAAATATGTCGACATATTATACGGTCTTCGATGCGCTCTCCTAACGTTTTATAAATAATATAATATTAAAACATACGGAAGATACGTGTTAGAGACTAATATAAAATTGGAATAGCAGGAAGGACATGTCCTCTATGGCAGACGATCGTATCAGTCGATCGTTCAGAAGTATATTCAACCCATTTAAGTTTTGTACTATTGTACGCTGTATACGCTGTGTATATTATATATTCAGTATGTGTGTGTAGTATATGATGTATACGCTCGGTTTGGTTGGAGATTTTAGGCCTTCATCGATATTTCTTGGGTACGGATAAGTAATTGGTAAATAGAAGAAAATAAACCAAGAATATCAGGCAAGATGACCTTTCACAAGACATCTAATGCGTATTACGTACATATGCACGGCAGCAGTGGTAAGTACAAAAAGGGTTAATTTATTTCCGAATTGCAGGAATTGGTCAAAAATACTTGGGCTTTCGAAAACTAGTTAACAACTTTTCTAGCTATGACAAATAATCTTCACCTACTCTTCACTCCTCAAGTTTGCTCTCTCTGTTCGCGTAGCGTTTATTCTACTCACCCGTATTCTTGTATATGGAATTAGCTCGCTGTACATGCCGCGTAATGGCCTCAATACTGGCCTCGTCAGAACCCATTTTCTGGAAAAAAGTATGATCGGCTTGCAAATATAACATACACGTAATCTTGCGATCGTACAATGATTTGCCGGAACCAGTATTATCGCCAGCATCACCATTATTGCTACCGCCCCGATTTGTTAGCAAATTTGTCATTAGCATGCTATTGAAATTCGGATTATGAGGATTAGGTGACATAACTATATCCGGATTGTAATTGTTAACTATAATGTTGGGTTTTTTTGGTGGCACCATTTTTTGTAATAATTTCTACGTGAGTCTTATGTATAGGACGATCATTGCCGCCCATGAAAATTGTTGTCCAATTGTTGTTGAAGAAGCCGTTGCCAACATTTTGTGGCGTGTCGTTGAAATCATCGACACGATCATAGGAGGAAGGTGATCGGGAACTATTATTGTTGTTGTTGTTGTTATTGTTATTGTTATAGGTACTAACAATAATATTTTTATGTTTTGTATAAGTTTTTCGTATATTATTGTTATTATTATTATTATTATTGTTGTTGTTGTTATTATAGTTATATGAATTGTTGCTGTCATCATTGCTATTGGGATTGTAGTTGTTAACAATAATATTACGACTGCGATTGTATTTATTCGACGAAGACGATGGCGTCGATGACGTCGGCGTGATGGTGGACACTGCTGCATTACGCCATGTTATCACAGATGCTTGTTGCGTTGTACGCAATTTATCATTGCTCTTATTAAACCTATTCCCGCTGACGGATGTTGACGTCGTTGCATAGCCATGGCCATTATCCATGTTGGCAAAAATTGAAAAATCATCATTATACGGTACTTCCAAGTCTAAGGGCAGTGGTGGATCATTCTTATTGCCATCACCGGATGAACTCAGCTGCAAATGGAAAAAAATTGATTGAATTATTTAACTGAAAGAAAGCAAATTAAATCGACTTAAACGAACGCTTAAATGCTCATCACGTAGAGAAGTGGAGAGGATTGATTACCTACATCCTCAAACTGAAACGATGCCCATCTGGCAAATTTAATTGAATAAATATTGAATAGGTATCACCTAACGAAAAAAAAAGAAAAAAAATGGAGAGACGATTGGAACTCGAATCTGATGCTCCGCAGCTAACATTGACTGCTCCTTTTCGGCGATACGTGCAATCAATGAATGGATTACCTAAGTGCTGCCCCAATCTATGTTCTACAGAAATTTTGTTTCTTTCTCCTCTTATCGATCTTTAGAAATTTCGTTTTCAATGTTAACATTCCCTGTGGAATTATAATTACTTTATCCGATGGATTTAATAGCTCGGTTTCAAATTAATAACCTGAATGCGAAATCTTTTCAAATATTCGCCAAGAGAAACATATTTCCATTTTTTGAAAACAATTTCTGCTTCCCATTACTTTACGTAATCATTTCATAATCATTAGTTCGTAACATAAGTCAATTTTGCAAAATGTAAATGACGTTTTAATTGCATTTGCTGGGCTAAAAGACTAGAATATGAAGACCTTATCCTCTTCTTCTTATGCTGTCGGTTTCACATTGTTTCTAATAAAATTACATCTTTTTTCGTACGTACATAGAAAAAGCAAACGCAACAACCGCAACAATTCCTTCATTCTTTGTAGGTATGACGTGTCATAAGACGAGTCCAAAAGGCAACTCCATCTTATGCTTAACATACTACTCTACGTGTCGTTTGCATTGCATGGTCTCACCAGCTGAAGCTCTAATATAAAATAATTTTACCCAATATAAATACCCCACTCTGAACGTATGTAAAACTTCCGCTTACATGCTCGTACATCTAACGACAGAGCATTAAATAGATAACAAGGTAAGTTTTGTTCAAAGTCTCAGTAAAAGCGAGGGTAGTAGTGAACGTTTGATATATGTTGGAGAACAGAAGGGAAAGAGTGTTAGGTGAGAAAATCGCTGTTGAAAATCATTTGACCTTAATAAATGGTTGCACTTAGTTTGCTTTCTGATGTACTTCCCGTTAACGTTTTTTAAATACGTTCGATTTAAAGCAAAAATGATGGCATGTCAGTAAGTGGTGGTGGTTGACACTTTAATTCTTAGTAATAGTAACGAGAACGCGTTGTAAACATTCTCGTTATATGCTTTGCATTCACATTTCACTGATAAAATTTGCGATTAAATGTGAAGAAGAAATGCTTTAGCCTTATAGAAGATAATTTGATGAAGGGAAACCTTATGAAAGATGTCTATAGTGCTTAACGTGGCCACCCGCTTACGAATATAATCCGAAGGGTTAATCACCGCCCTCAACTATTTAATGCTCTCGTGATTTTAGTTAACTCAAGGAAATCACAAATTTCTATAAAGGGCTGTTGTTCCAGCTCTAGGTTTGTTTGTTGCATGTGTCAAGATACTTGCAGAAAAATGCCAAGATATCACATTAGTGTCGATATGCTTAACTAAAAAAAATTTAAAAGCTGCCATTATACAAAATTAATATGAACCGAATGCGATGGAAGAAGTGGAATCGAAGAGGCCACTGCTAACTCGTATCCTCACGCATCCTCATTACAAACTTTCAAATCTAGTCAGACCACGTTGAAGCTTTAAGGTTCATTTCCAATTCATCAACAGGAAAAGAAATGTTTCTAGCTTTAAAGTTAGTCTTAATTATCAGATTTAAGCCCTTCCCACACACTCGGTGGTATTACGCCACGATGTGACTTACAATCTCATACTTAAAACAAAATTACGTATCTTGGACAGGAAGGGCATAATCGAGGACAGCAATTGGAACAGTGAGAATTTATTCACAGTAACCGCACACATAATAATTTCTTCATGAGCTATCGGCTGAACCTTTGTGCAGAGTTTCTGTCAAAAAAATCATTGTTTCTTATGGTTTGGAGGATTTTCTATATTAGTATAATAAATTTTGGTTTAATATTTTCCATGGGTTGGGTGCTTTACGTAATTCTTGTCTGACGTACAAGGCCTACAAGGCACATCGGGATTTGATTCTTTATCTAAACAGTGCGATTAGGGTTAGAAGTTCTCCTCTGTTAAAAATGACCTTAATATGAAAAGGATTCAAGTCCTCGCTCTTACTCTCTTAAATATGAATCCACTTAAAATCCACTTCATTTTTCTTGCTTCCATAAAATTTTATTGACTTTTACATAGAGAACGGCAAAGTCGGTTATATGGAGGCGGGTTCAGGATTAAAAATTGCTCTCAATATAAAAAATAAAAAACTTTTTCTTCTAAATTTTTTCTATTTTCTATCCTTCATGCGTTTCCTCTTTTCCGCTAGAACACTCTCTGAGTGTACAACTCTCATTTCCTCTCCGTAAGCGACAGAATGTCTTTTTTTTGGCAATAGACAATGATTATGTTATGCAAATTTTTAAATTAACTGTCAATCAAGATGGAATTTGATAAATTGATAAAAATTAACAAAGATATGAGATCATGCCTGCGTAAGCTGAAAACACATTCTATAAATTTTCAGGCGTTTTCAACTAAGAAATTATTTTAATTCGAACTCGAAGGCAAATAAAATATACAAATTGATATATATATATATATATACATATATATAGTGTAAAAGATGCGTAGAGCATGTAGAAATTCAAACAAGTGGAGTTAATGTTTCAACTGCAGGAAAAACAAACAACTTATCGATTGACAGATAAGGCACTTTTCCATAACAGGCAAATGACACTTTTTTGAAATGTCGAGAAAACATCAACAACAGCAACGACGATAATGTATATAAAATAAACATACAGAACAGAATAAAGTAATGGCGACAAAGTGCAAGCTATGAAAAGTGAGAGAAAGTTGATGGAAAGATTTTGAAATCTGGAACACATTTAAAGTAATCAGGAAAATAAGATGATGGTAAGCAAAAAAACTCAGCTATGGTTAGAAGATAGAAAAACGGCATATTCAAGAGCATTTAAGAGTAGATTTTTTTTTTAAAATCTAACTTTAGGTTGTAATAGGCGAAGTGATGTAGGGTTGTGGATGATCGCTTTGAACGACTGTAACGCTTAAAAGTGTTTTTTTTTCTTTCTTGTTGCGTCATCTAGTGATGTGTGTTATACAAGTTGTTTATGTCAATGACATCAATTGCAGGATGGGAGTATTTTAGAATTGATTTTGAAACATTTCACAAACTATTTTAACTATGAAATTCTCCGTTAAATGCGAATGTTAGCTAAGTCGTGTCCATTGCATTCTGAGATTCTTTAAACTTTTAAGACGAATTGTAAGTAAGCAAAAATCAGTTGCATTCAATAATTAAACTCAAAAGAATCCGCATAAATTGCTTAGGATTTGACAATTGTGCAAGAGACTAGAGGTGGTGTGTGTGTGTGTGTGTTTTTTTTTTTTTTTTTTTTTTCATAGTTACAGACATAAATTTCTATCAAGAATTTTAATCAATTCATAAAAAAATTTTGCCACACAAGGTGTTATGTCATCATTCGTTCCGTTCTATGACTCCATTAAAGCTAATTCTATATTTACTGTTATTATGATTAGTGCAATAAAAAATAAATTTTACCTCTTCTGGCAGCCATCTTTTAAATCGTCGATGTGAACAGTTTGCTGTTCCCTTTGAATGGCCTTTTAAACGTTCACTTTTGTGCTGCCGGTAGTCATCATTCATGCTTACGTTAAATGCTTCGGCTTCGGCTTGAAAGTTATATAATCGTATCTCCTCACCATTAGCTATTCGACGTTTCAATTCATCCAAGAGTATACTACGTTTTAAACGTTCACTGGCGCAATGTTCCACGGAGGCAATCGAGGATGAAGTTCTTTTTTTCGATTTCATAAAAGCATCACGTCGACGCATATCTACATCACTTAGCCTATAGATAATGCTATGTATACCCGTATCATTTAAATTTCTCGAATACCTTTGCGATGGTTCAATATAAAAGTGATCGGTATTTGTTTCAATTGTGCCATCCAATAAATTATCATTGGTTAGGATGGCGTGTATATGCGAGTTTTCGTCATCTGCAAATGCAAAAGAAGAAGAAATTGAAAATTGAAAATTTATGAGACTTAATAAGTTACTCGAAGAACGTTAGCCGAAGGTATTGTGTGTGTGTTTTTTTTTGTTTTTTTTCTTTTTTTTTTTGCTTTCTTGCACTCCTCCATTTCCTTCGTCACTTATAATAGCGATATTGTATTTCGTCTTTACGCAATGACATCGTAATAAATTGCAATTGAAATTTATTATGAAAAATATTTTACAAAATGAAATTGCGTTAAATTATGATTTGAGTTTTATCGATGCGACGGTGCAGCAGCAGCAGCAGCAGCAAGCAGCACACGCCTGGTGTACAATTTTAGAGTTTTCCTTATCTACGCTATTTATTGCTTTATCTATATATATATATATATATATATATATATATATATCTTTTGAAAAATATTTTCAATGACATTCAAGGCAGGAAACCAGGAAAGTTAAGTTAAGTGCAGAGGGCAGGCCCGCTCGAATTGGCAGTCAAGTAAGCAATAAACGTTATAAGTAATGCCATATTTTATTTGCCCTACACTTTAATCTAGAAAATGAACAACAAAAATTAATTTTTATTTCAAGACGAATTTTAAATACCCAACGTTTTCTTCACAATTTTCAAATCATTGCTAATTCTCATGATCGTAGAGGAGAGCGGCACGAAAAAGTTGACTTGCGTCTTGAGAGATTCTTCACGAAATGCATGCCGGCAATAAGGTTTAATAGTTTTCGAGGCAGTACTTTTCGTTAGGCACAAGTTTACGCAGGATGCTGCTATTTAAAGCCATCCAGCCATTACGATGCAAATATTTAAGCAAACGCAATATGGGAAACAGGTATGGAAAAGTTTGAATTGTTTTCTTGCGCATCCGCCACATATTGGAGAGTTTTGTGAGGACAATGAGGACCAATACAATAATTTACTCGTGCAACTTTCAAATATTGCTATTTCTCCAAATATTTATTAAATGAATCTATTTACGAAATAAATTCTATTTATTTAGATCTTTGCCTTATGAAAATTGAAATAAATTGAAATGAACTTTAATGAAAATTTGTTACATAATGCCACCCAACATTCGACCTAAGCTGACCTAATTTAGCTGTTGCTCTTACTATTATTATTATTATTATTATTATTATTATTATTATTTATATAAACATCTGTAAGCTGTTTATGGGTAGAACGTCTAAATGTATATGCGGGCGGATGTATGTATGTATGTATGTATAATTGTGTGTGTGTGAGTATGTGTGTTAGTTTTTTTTTTTCCTTTTTTTTTTTTTAGTTCGGTTTGGCATTTAATTCCTGGTAATGTAATACCGAACATATATTCAAGTAAGCGGATATGAACAAACAGGCTAACTGATGTATATAAATTATTATCGATTTTCTATGTGAATAAGCTCAACGAAGGGCTTGTCTCGGCGCGCTCGCTAAGGGTAGGGTTTTGTGTTTATTTATTTATTTAGCTTTTGTTTTAATAAGAAGAAGGAGAATCCAGGCAGAAAAACAAATGTGTTGCAAACCACTAGAAGGGTAGCTAGATTGTAAACCTCTAATAACGGACACCGTTGCTTTCAATTAACCATAAATGCACCATGACTAGCCTTTAGCTTATTTTTTTCCTCTTCTCTTCTCTTTTTGTGTATTAATCTATGTATGGATTGAGTAAATATTTGAAAAAAAAATTTAAGGTCTTCTTTAACTATTGCAAACTTGTAAAGTTTATTTTTCATATTGCGTTATTTAAACCGGCATTAAAAAATAGAGACATTTTTTATTTTTATTGAAAGAAGAAAAAGAAGTTTCTTCATCAATAAGCATTGATGAAGGGCTTTATTTGATCTAGATCTCGTCACCTTGATAAACAGAGGAATAAAACGCTTGACTTGCTACAAAAATATAAAATGAAATATGAAAATATCGGGCCATGGATGCATCTTGTTCCCTTTTGCCTTCCTCAATATATATATGTTTTCCCAGAAATATCGCTTACGTGAATTATAAGCAGATTTTTTCATATTTTCTTCGAGAAGAAAGCTTTGCTTTTTTTTCTGTGTGTGTCCTCTTAGCCCTCACATCCACGTAAAGAAGAAACAATTTTATGTGGTTATGTGGTGCAAATTAACCGCGTTAGCGGGCAGGCATCGCGCTCATCAATCTAGATATCAATCTATGTCTGACACACAGTTTAATGAAGCGTTTGCCTTTCTGTTGTTTGGTCCCTTTTTTTTTAATAATCATTTAAAACAAATAAAAAACTTGAAAAGAAAATAATCACAAGAAAAGATCGTTTCAAGAGAAAAAGTAAGTGAGAGCCACCGTTGGATGGAAGAAAATGTCTATTCGAAAGTCGATCAAGTGAGTACATGGGACAACGATCCGCAATTATAAATTTTCTAGTCAAGAACTGCTGGCATAAACACAAATGCATCCCAGTAGTCGTTACAACCGAAATACCGCAGATGTATTATGTCATTGGAGGCTTAGAAAAGCACCTCTAATAACTAATGACACGAATGATTTATAATATTGACCTACATTCACATCTTTCGCAAGAGTGTTCACTTATGTGACATATAATATGATAACACACTCTGTGAACAAATAGCGCCCGGATAGATTATATCTAAGAACATTTTTTTTTTTTTAAGTCCGCAATCTTTTGTTCATCGCAATAGAACTGTGATGGAAATGAAACAAGAATTTTCGTCAAAAGAGTAAAATCCAAGAATAGCAACCGGCTAAATAGTAAGATATCCTAACTTATTATATAAAAAGTTTATAAACTTGAGTTTCAGCGTCCGTCTGTCTTGCTCGCTTGTTTTTGTTTCTCTTGTTGTCAAATTGATTTAAAGCACACGTAGAAAGTTTTTCTTTCTATATTTTTGCAAAACTCTTCGCGTTGCTGCATGCAGTCTCAAGCACTGGAAGTTTTTTCGTTCATATACGGTTTACATTGTTTCGATGAAAATGAAAACAAAGGAAAACATATAATTTTTCTTTTTTTGAGTTAATGCTGATGTAGCGGTAGCACTTTTTACTTTCGCTACGACATAGTATCTCTTTGTTTTTGCAGTATCCTTTCCCGTATCTGATGATCTCCTTTTTTTTTTTTTTTTTTTTTTTTTTATGAGTATTGCAGAAAAATTGTGGAAACTTTCAGATTTCAATTTAAGTCTTCCTTTTATAGCCATCACCATCGAAGGATGGGGGGGGTATATTCATTTTTTCAAAACGTTTGCCACGCCCAGAAGGAAGCCTCAGAGATCCCACAAAGTCTATATAGTCTTGGGCAGCATCAAATTCTAAATAGATGTAAGCATGTCCGCCTAGCCGTCAGTCCGTCTGTACAATGTCTAATGTTGTACACGTTTACCTGGTTGCAAAAATTAAGCTATCGACTTCAAATTTACAAAAGAATTTGGTGTTGACCTAAACTTTTCAAAGAACACGCCTATAACGCCCACATGCGTATACGGCAAACACTTTTGTTTTGAAGAAGCAGGAATCAGCTGCATCCACTCCACCTTATAGAGCACGAAAATGTTGTCCTTTTACTTCTTTTGTCTTTTTTCGGATAATGGTGACGTGACGGGTATAAAAAATTCTCTTCGGACCGAATTAAATTTTTTCACTTGTCTCTTTTAAGGTGCTGTTGAACAATTACATTTGGACGGAGAGAAGTGACGTCGTTCACAAAGAGTGGGAGAGGAGATTAAATAAATTTGAATAAAGCATATATTTATTGCTCTTATTCACTTCTCTTCTTTAACTAAGTTTTCAATCTTTTTGTAGTCAAATTTCTTATTCGTGGATTGACAATAACGAATAACTAATAACTGTAATGGGTTTCGAAGTAGTTGAAAATAATTTTTTAACTTATTGTTACTAAGCACTTTTCATTGCCACGATAGTTTACAAACTACTCAATATGACAGTCGATTAGAATAATACTGAGAGATTCGTAGATAAAAAACTAAATAAGAAGCTGCAAGCAGGAATACTGTTAAGTGATGTACCCAAAAATTACTATGCTACTAAGTGTATGCATCAGTTCAGCACTTCGTACTTCGCACTTCGTAACAGGGGCTACAGTTCGTCAAGAATAATCCGTTTTGCTTCAGAATTCTATAATAGAAAGATGATGCAACGCCTCTTTGCTTTAGACTCATTATCATTATGTCATGTTCGGACAATAAGCCTTTCACTGATCCTTAAGTTATGGTTCCAAATTAATCCTAAAGCATAGCATAGCACTTGTCGAACGAGGGAAAACTAAAACCATAGGCAGTCATTGGCTAACAAAGCTAAGCTGAAGCCGGATATTGATTGATTCATCTGAAGGAAAATAAAAAAATTGGAAAGGAGCAGGCGATCCCGAAAGCCTGTGCTTATATGTGTTGAAAGGGAGAAAGTGTAACTGACAAGAAAGCTTTTACTCATTTCTCAGAAACGTTTGCTCGGATATGTTTTGCAGACTATAGAACAATGGGAATTTGCTGGACTTCTTCTTGTTCTTATATCTAAGTAATTGCTTCTGTTCACAACACTCAAATGTGCACAGTGCCCATTGTATATATAATGAACTATATACGATATGAGTTTTACTACATCTCCCTCCATCCATCTCACTGCTTGCATGCCAGTCTATCCATTAGTTATTGAGACCGTGAGTACAACAGCACCTTGCTTGTTCAATCTATCTTGCGTGAGTTTTTCAATTTGTTAGCTTGTCATTCTATTTATCAGTTCATCAACCTGTCTTCCTGTTAGTCTATCAATCTTCTTATTCTGCTGATCTATCAGTTTGCATTGTCAATCAACAAGAACTTCGTGCAACTTGCAAGTCTTAGTTGGTAGTAAAACTTGTGGGGACTATTTACAAAGGCGCTCTAAAATCTGTTACTGGTTTGTAAACACGTTCCCAACAAACAAATATAAGAATATATAAGAATTCTTAAAAAGTAAATCAACTAAGAACTA